CCGTATTTTTTTTTTGCCGCATTCGATATATTACATTTCTTTGTTCTTTATTTATTGTCATTTGAAGAACATATCTCTTTTACGTTTAATGTTTTATTGCGTTAAAAAAATTGATTATAATGCTAAATAAATTGAGACCTTTAATAATCCCTCTCTCATTTAATTTAATATTATTTTTATTAAACATTTTAATCTCGCTTTTATTTGACGCTCTGTAATATAGAATAATCTAGTCTTGAATCTTTTCAAACGTTTAGCATGAAATATGTAAATTCGTTAATTCTATTACTCTTTCTTGATATCTTCAATTCAATATAAAATGCATCATGAATTATATCAGATAGGATGAATAAACATTGAAGAATTCGTTTTTTTTTTAGATATGGAATTGTATAAAATTATATAATATATGAAAATTTCTTCCATAGTAATCGCGCTTTTCTTTGCGGTACGACTAAACAAGGCCAAACTTCCGGAGTGGGTCGACTGGATCCTTACCGCATATGTGGTATTCTACGTTCTGACTCACCTCATTTTAACAGTAAGAGTCCTTGTCAAATTTTCGCGCAAAGTTCTAAAAAATCGCAAAAAAATCTAACCGAACGATTTATTGTACAATAATCACGCAATTTTGACATCCGATCTAAGTCGATTAAAAATCGATCACATTTTATAAATTATGTGCTTTCTCTTTGTAGAACATTAAAATTTTTAATGTTGCACAATATCTCGAGAAAAATAATTCAATATTTAACGGAATTTGTGCTTCAATACTAAATTATGTTAATCCGCCTTTCCGAGAGATTGCAGTTATATTTGCTACATTCTTGCCGATTTATGTTGCAGTTCCTTGGTTGCGTCTCTGACAAACAAGCCAGTCAGAGAGTGAATTCATTTCCGATGAAAGACATGCATTCTCGCGGATCAATGGTGCATCCAGATGCGAGGCGAGACGCTCCTGTAAGATTTTCTGAAATAAGAGTGACGTAATCGAATAATCTTTCAACGCGCGTCGATCCACTTTGAAATATTAATAAGATTGTCAGTAAAATAGAGATAAAAAAAGGAGATAATACGCTTAACAATAATATTTTTTTCATTCTTGTGAATATTGAGAAATCTATCAATGACAATTGAGAAATCTAATTACATTTCTTTACAACGTAATGAAAAGACAAAATCCACGCGCTCAAAAATAATTGGATTCTATGCACTTAAATATAAGATAAATTAAATTTTTTATAAATGGAATAATTCAAATAATCTCTCTTTCTCTCTCTATCTCTCTTTCTTTTTCTTCAAGAATTTGATTTATGTGATTTAAAACCCCGCGCTCTATAAAATTTCTTTGATCAAAAAATTTTTAAGAAATTTATAATAGATAAATGTCACGTCTTTTCTCACGTGCACACATATGCAATAAATTGTACAAATAAATCAATAATTCCTGATATTATATCGATGCCGCGGACCGATATCGCATTGAAAAATAATTTAGTGTACAAACAAATATCAGTACGCAAACAAAATCTCATTGAATATTTTCCCGACAGTACTCTGGCATGCGCAAGTTCATTTTCGGTGTGTACTTTGTGGTTATCGTCGCGTTCGCCACGACCCTCATAGTGATCACCGTGTTGGCACCTATCGAGGAAACATGGGCCACCTTCACCAACACCATCTCGAATTACTGAGACCGCTAATCAACGACCGTGGAAATATTCGTCACTGTGCGATACTACCGCGTGGAATATTCCGACCAGATGGCTCGGAGGCCATCATAGTCGTTGCAGCGATGATATATTCCCTCGACTCGACTTTCTGTATGCAAATTATGCACGAAGAATGTGTAAATCCTTCGTGTAAATCTATTCGTGTAAAGATGCAAATCGCGCCGCGACAGATGCATGCGCGAGAACGAGGAGATTACTGCTGTACTGACGAGTGTTTTTTACGATTTTTATAGATTTCTACGAAGATTCGTCAATTTCTATTTTGATTATATATCGTAATTAAAAAATAGATTTTTCTCTTTGTATATAACATTCTTATAATTTACTTGGAAGATGTCAATGCCTCTAAAGTTTACATACTTTATTACTATTAATAAATGTTTTGCGATTACACGCGGAATATTTTATTGTCTATATGTCTGCTAAATTTGAGTACAATGATTCTTTTTTCACCAAGAAACTGCCATTAGATCCAATTTATAGCATAATTATAAGACTAGAATAGAAAAAGCTCGAAAAATAATTGTCTCTTTTCGAGTATAAAATATGCACTCAAAAAAGTGGTATTGCAACTACAGCAAAAATTTTCTGGGTGCGCAAAATTAACTGAGGTACATAAATGATTAGCAAATACTGTGATATC